GCAGGAATGGTGAATGTTCACCCCTGAGCACCCCTGAGGCACCCCCAGAAATAAGTAGTTAAGGTTGCAGGGCTAGCTCCATGAATCCACCCCTCATGAGTAAAGCAAGCCACAGCATCAGAGGACCCCTGGACCTGGAGGATAAAGAAAACACCCTGAGTAGCCAACTAAGATACCCTTCCAGAGGACCAAGACCTGTCATTGAGACTGCAGCTTTACTGAGGCCACTCCCAGGCTGGCTGCTCTGCGCATGGCGGAAGCCTGAGGAGTTTACACCTTGGTTTGGTCACTCCGGACGCTGACCAATCTATGCACAGCAGAAGCTTGAGGACAGCAACGAAGACATCCCCACTATACCCCTACAATGTCCTGCTCCTAGCCCCTCCTGTAGTGCTGGCTGGGATGGCCCCAAGGGGCTGGAAGTTATGGGAGAGGCTTTTGCTAGCAATAGTTTACCCCTTACTGGTAGGGATCCTGACAGACCTAAGATGCCTGGGATAACTAAACAGAGGCATTTTCACTGGGGCTCTGTTCCTAATACTGATTTTGCCTTAATGATACTCCTGACCCTTGCTCTTTTACTGAGGCTGCCAGACACCTACCCCCTTGCCTCAAATGGTGCAACCAAACCATCCAGCAGGCCACTATCTGACTGTGACCGGGTGCCTACCTACCAATGTTAGGCCACCTGCCTGGGATTTATGATCCCATAGTCATTCTGGGGACCCTGAGCCAGCTGGCATTCATGCACCAGGGTGAGGTTACAAGTCTTGCCTGACTCGGTCACTCTCCAGAAGTGTGAGAATGATGGAACACCCTATTTTATAGGAAAGAGCAGAGGAAGCCAAGATTGTTACACACACACACACACACACACACACACACATGCACAGGAAAATGAGTTTGCTACTTAGGTCTCAGACAGTATGGACTCCCAGATGGAGGAGGGAAATGTCCTACGGAGACTCAGGCTGCCATCCAGGATGCAGTACAGAGGCTTAAACCTCAGATTCCCTGTGATCAGCTGAGGCTCCCTGGATCTCAGAGGGACCTGCAGCTTGATTCAAGAGTAATTACACTCATTAATGCTCTACTGTATCAGGTATAATCCCGTTAGCATCCAGCTGTTGTCTTTGCATCCAAAGACACTTCCCCTAAATATCTGCCACTCCAAACTACCCTAAAAATGACATCCCAATTGTTAATCTGACTTCTTTCCTTCTTCTTTTTTTTTTAGTAAATACAATTTTTGTTTTTGGAGAGGTTTTGCTATAGGGCACATGCACTCGCCAGAAATACAGAGAGACAGAAACAAAGAAATCACCCCCCGGGGGGGATGGCCATACCACAATCCCTTCTCCTTCATTCTCCTCTCGAGATCTTGGGCATGCACGCACATGAGCATGGTGTGAGTTTAAGCCACCGGGTCCGGGCTTAAACCATGGTTGACCACATGAGAGTCCAGCAACAGAGCCATTACTCCAACTGCTGGTCCCATTAATCTGTCTTCTGTACAGGAGGGACCAATCTCCCAAGTGCACCTCTCCTCCAAGCCCCAAAGCTGTTTTACAAATCAAGGTTCCATTGCAGTAGGTAATATGACCTGCCACAGCACAAATCCAGAAAATGGGACCTCCACCTGCTCTCAATTCCTGGGGTTCCACCTCGTAGGTGGGCCCTATGCTTACGAGAGCCTTCAGCAAGCTGGTCTGACACCTGTAAGATTACTCCCAGAGATAGGAAAACGGAAAACACTCGTCAGTCACACATGTGCAATAACACATGTTTACAATGGCCATCTTTCAAGGACCCAAACTTCACTGGCCATTTCCACATAAGGCCAAGACCCTGTGCATCTCTTAGATGGAAAGAAGGTAACAGGTTGCTTATGGAGAAGAGAGGAAGAGGATTACTGATAGAGGGTGCCCCAAACAATCTCCAAAAGGTCACTTATGTTAGTGACAATAATGACCTAATTCACGAAGCCTCTTCATTAAGAGTGAAGACTTTCCAAAGGGGCATAGAATAGGGAACATCCTTCCCAGTGACCTCCCCAAATTCACTCCCACAGAAGGACTAAGAAAGTCTAAGGCTCTTGTGGCCACAGATAGTTCCTACCAATGACCAGTTAACGAAGAACTGACAGCAAAAGCCCTTACGTGTGCCCTGTGAAATCCTACATGGGTTGTGTTCCCAGTCTTTTCAGGAGGGTCACCTGTAAATAATGCTCTTGAGATGGCAGGACCAAGAGAGAACTAAACAAAAACAAAAACAAAAAAAACCCCCCTCAAAAAAAAAAAAAAGAGTGAAGACTTTTCATAGAATAGGGAACGCCCTTCCCAATGACCTCCCCCCGCCCCAAATTCACTCCTGCAGAAGGACTAAGGAAGTCTAAGACTCTTGTGGCCACAAATAGTTCCTACCACTGACCAGGTAACGAAGAACTGACAGCAAAAGCCCTTACGTGTGCCCTGTGAAATCCTACATGGGTTGTGTTCCCAGTCTTTTCAGGAGGGCCACCTGTAAATAATGCTCTTGAGATGGCAGGACCGAGAGAGAACTCCCATTAGGTCACAGATCAAGCTCTCACAAATGTAACAGGACAGAAGAATCTCATCCGAGCTTTGGGGAGGACCCACAGCAAAGTTAGTTCAGATGGATTCTGACCTGGTGAGAACTGCAAAATGTGCCCGCCTGTGGGGTCCAACTGGAACAACGGCTGTCATGAGCTCTAGGCCTGTTTCTGCCTCCTTAGGACTTCTGACACAAACATAGAGACCATTTCCAGTTGGGAAAAACAGGCAATGAGTACTCACACCAGAAAAACACTACAGGGACCAGCAGATGGCGCAGCAGTTATGTTACTGGATTCTCACATGACTGACTAAGGTTCGAGGCTCAGAGCCAGTGGCTTGAAAATCACATCAGCCTCATGTGCATGTGTGCCCAGGATCCTGGGAGAGGAGTGGAGAAGGGATTGTGGCATAGTCATCACCCCTTTCTCGCAAACCGAGGTCGACTACGTGGGAGTCCAGCGACATAGCCATTATGCTAACTGCTGGTTCCCAACAATTACTTTTTTTAATAGGATCTATTAAACTGAATTCCACAGAGAGCAGGAGTCCAACTGGTAAGAAGTGCTCACCCATTTTTGCTGGCTTGTCAGCTCCTGAGTCCTCTTGCCTGTGACTTCTGGAAGGACAGAGCAGCTTTGGTTTACCCTGCTCACCACACCAAATCTATAGAGGCCAAGGACATCGCCCTTAGGGTCACTGAAAAACCACTGACACGGTGGAAAGACACACAGGAAAGGTACACAGAGATAAGGGAAAGGGACACATTCAGCTCATGCCGGGCACATGGGAACCACACAAACTGTTCCTTTAAGAAAAGCCAATCTACTGGAAATTGTACACTCAGAAGGACAAAGGAGGTCTGGAGTTATGCTAAGGAAGGGTGGTGGGAGAGAATGCAAAGAACCATGCCTTTCTAGGCCAGAGGTCACACTGCTAATCCCTTTTTCCCTGTTCCAAGGAAAGGCAGAGGGATAGCATCAGAAAAGACTATTTACATCTATTGGCTTTACTGATATAAAGGAATGCGCATTTCTTTTCACAGCGGGTTATTGAGCAGATCCTCTAACTAAAATTCTTTTTTTTTTTTTTTTGGAGAGGTTTTTGCTATAGGGCGCATGCGCTCGCCAGACAGACAGAGACAGAGAGACAGAAAGCGAGAAATCACCCCCCAGGGAGGATGGCCACGTTGCAATCCCTTCTCCTCCAGTCTCCTCTCGGGATCTTGGGCACGCATGCACACGCGCCCAGCGTGAGTTTTAAGCCACCGGGTCCAGGATGCGAACCAGGGTCCAATACGTGGGAGTCCAGCGACATAGCCATTACACTAACTGCCGGTCCCTAATACCACAATACCCTCTAACTAAAATTCTAAGCATGTTTCTTTTATTCTTTTTTTTCCCCACAAAACAATGATATATGTTTGTTTTTGTTTTTGTTTTTTGTTGTTGTTGTTGTTTTTTCCACAGAATGATCAGGAATTTAGGTAACTAATTTAAACATTTTTTGTCCCCTGCTCCCTGGATCAGTGAACGGTGGGGCCAGATAATGTTACATAAGAGTTATCTTTTTTTCTTTCCTTAGAATTGACACCGAACTCATCAGGTTCACTCGTCCAAGCGCTATAAAACCAAACCATAGGCACATAGTGTGTTGAAGGAAAGTACAGCTTTATCACAAAGTGCAAAGCAAGAGCAGCTCATGCTGAAATGATCTAGTCTCCCCAAGATGTTCTCCATATGCGTTTTTAAGGGCAAAATTAGGGACAGAGGTCCCAGGCCCAAGATCAGTTCAGTGACTGGTTCAAGAGGACATGATCATCTCGTGGGGCGTTCTTGAGTGGTGAGGCCTTAGACAATCAGATTTCTCTTCAGGTGTCTGACGCCATTCAGTCTGGAGTTTTTGAGCTCACAGTTTCTGTCCAAAACATCTTACGTATTGAAATGAAAACCTTATCTTTCCTTTAAGTGAGAGTTTTAGAGGTCAAATAGTCCTTATTAATGGTCCATGTTGGTCATTATCAACACCGAAGTCTGAAGCCTTACTCCTTACTCGGGGCCATTACAATGTAAACGGACCTTATATTTCAAGAACCTTAGGAAACACATTAAGGGGTCCTTGCTAGGTTTCAGAATCATAGCTAAAAGTTTCGTTGTACCCTAAGGGCTACAAGATGGAATAGAGCTCTCTTTCAGTTTCTCATTGTGATATCCTACTCACTGCCAATTCAAACAAAACATAAAATCAAATTTATAGGTTACCAAATTTCCAGTCTTTAAAGGCTTCTTGTCCCTGTATCTGTGAGGAATTGGCTGACCATGTGAGAAAATAGAAATACAGAGTCTTTATTGGGAATGCTCCTGGCCAAGGTTCACTGGCTCAACAGAGAGAAGAGAGCTCCAGAGAAGTTGTGCCCTAGGGCGGGGTTTAGGGGTTTTTATAAGGATATAGGGAGGGGAAGTGTCTTAGAGGCAGGAACAGTCCATGTGAAGCAGGAGTGACTACATCTTGGAAAAGCGCCTCCAGGAGAAGGAGGAATAAAGCAGGAACGCCTCCACCTTGGAGGAGCTCCTGCATTATAAACTCTTAGATTCCTATGACTGGAAACTTGCTTCTCCTTTGTGCCTAAAAGTAAACAGAGTAATTAAATTCCTATTGTCTTTAAACCCCACTCCTCCTAACTGCCCTGAAAGTGTTCCTTAGTGATGGAATCAGCCAGACCCCTAGCCCTGAGCCATGAAGTCCATTAAGATCTATTGTGTTTAGGCAGAGATGGAACATACCCTGAAGAAGGATGAACCCCCTTTTCTTGCTTCTGGACTGTGCTTTTGCTTTTATGTTGTTAAAGCCCTACCCGGTACCCTCTTCCCCCATTCAAGACCACTGCACCTTACCCTTGTGAATCACATCATCGCAGACATGACTACAGTTTTTGCCTTTATGAACGCCCTTCACCTTACACTTGGAACTGCAGGGTTTTGAAAGACACGAGTCTCCTCGCATGCCGCCAGCTTAATTAATAAACTCCAATAAATTTGGCTATGTCTGAATGTCCTCTTATTCCTCCCTGAGTAGACTATAACTCATGTGTAGTAATGGTTTAGGGGGAGAGCAGACAACGGTGCCACGTAGGATCTGGTGCCGTGTGCAGAGTAGAGTGCCACGTGCTACATCCGGGTTAGATCCCAGTGCACTGCAGGTCTGACGACAGACTAGATCTGAGTTGCATCAGCCGACTGTGGTGTGGCATCCAACCTCTACATCCAAGCTGCCCAGGTCTCTGGCCTAAAAGTATCCAAAGGTTAAAAACACACCAAACAAATATTCTGTCAAAGCACAAACCAAACATCTAAATGGAGGCTTATAGCTACCCTTTAGCCAAATGGAGGAAAACCCACCCAACAAGCATTCTGTCAAAATAGAAACCAAATATCTACAGGGAAAGACAGGCCTTGGCGTAGTCACACACGAGTCTTATAACTTACCGGACATCTACCAAATCCCATCCAGTGCCATGTTTCCTTCACCACAAAACTGAAATCATCATGGGTCAACAGCAGCTGGCCGGCAGCCAATCACTAAGGACTGTCCTTGACCCAGGGTGCTCAGGCAGCTGCAGGACAAGTTCTGAGGGTGGCCATCATCCAAGGGTCCTTGGACTTGACGCCTGTGCAGGATCTTAGTCCCTTCACAGTCACCAATAAACTGTCAATGAACTCAGACAGGATTGCTCACACAAACATTGTAAAACCAAACCACAGGCACATGGTGTGTTGAAGGAAAATAGTTTTATTTGCAAAGTACAAAGCAAGGAGAGTGGGTGACTCATGCTGAAAACACCTGGTCTCCGAGAGCATGATCATTTCAATGATTGGCTCAAGAGGACACGATAATCTCTTGGATCCTTGATTGGTGAGGCCGTATTTTGGTCCAGGCTTCTGGATCCATTCAGCCTAGGGTCTTTGAGCTCAAGCAAGCAGTTTCCATCCTACAAAACATCTTACACATTGAAATGAAAACTTTCTCTTTCCTTTGAGAGTTTTAAGGTCAAATGGACCATATTCATGGCCAATGTTGTTTCATTATCATCACCAGAGTCTGAAGACTTACCCCTTACTCTGGGCCATTACAATGTAAATGGACCTTCTATTCCAAGACCAATAGAAACTACATCTTACTTGTAGTTCAGCCCTTACTAATTTTCAGTTTGGGAAATTCTTACTTTTACTTTAACAAAAGGGGAAACAAACCCCCCTCTCTTAGGGGGCCCCAGCTCCCTTTCAGGAATAGGCTCCAAATGGAATCACTGAATGGCTAAGTTTTAAAATGAAGACACAACAGTTCAGTGCTCTTACAAATAGCTGGCAGTGGGACTAGCAGTTAGCATAATGGCTATGTCGCTGGACTCCCATGTAGTCGACCACGGTTCTAGTCCTGGACCCGGTGGCTTAAACTCATGCTGGGCGTGTGTGTGTGTGTGTGTGTGTGTGTGTGTGTGTGCGTGCCCAAGATCCCGAGAGGAGAATGGAGGAGAAGGGATTGCGGCGTGACCATCCCCCCTGGGGGGTGATTTCTCGCTTTCTGTCTCTCTGTCTCTCTCTGTCTTTCTGTCGAGCCCATGCGCCCTATAGCAAAAACCTCTCCAAAAAAAGAAAAAATAAATAAACAAATAGCTGGCAGTGGTGTTACGTTGATTAACCTAAGCAGCATGACCTAAAACAAAAATAAGAATTGAGGTTTTTCCAGGTCTCATGCTCCACCACATTCTGAGAAGATAAGATAATGGTTTCTATGGTCCAAATCTTTTAGACAAAGAGAATCCCCTGATCTTTGTACCTACTCCAGAAATAGGAGAAAAATAACTGGACCCATCCAGTACAGGACCCACACCATGGAGGGGAGGATTGCATACACAAGCCCCACCTGAAAATAAGCCCGAACAAAGCCGCTCTGGCACAGATAAAACCCTGCATCTCAGCTCCTCTTTGGCAACCCATTCAGGACCCACACTGCTGGAGAGCTCTCTGTACTTCTCTTAATAAAACCTGCTTGCTTGTCCCTCTCTATGTCTGCAGCTCATGGAGAATGAAGAACCCATGTACCGCTATGAGTGCTGGGCCTGATCAACCAGGTGTCCCCGTGTCCCCACATCAATGGCACCAGCCCAGGGTAGGGCCAGGGTTGGCTGCAGGCATGCACACTCTCAGGGTTCAATACGAGGCAGGAAGCTGACCTCCTTCCTCAACCTGTGCAGCTTGGTACAAGAGTGAGGTGATAAAGGGAAGTTTAAGACTTGAAAGGAAACACTCAGCCCTTCCCAGTTGCCACCAGAATTTTTCTTTTTTATTTTGGGGATTACTCCCTGTATCTTTGTCTCTTATCTTGGTCTCTGGTGGAGGGAAGGCAGGGTCTCTGGTAGCCCAGGGCTTTTCCCAGCCACACCCTCCCCACCACCCCTCCCCACCCCCAGTTACTGAGCAAACT